ATTCAGGGGTTCAACAACGACGACTGCGGCTCCCGGGCCTGGTCCTTAGGGGCACGCACACGAAGACTTCCCGGCTGTCATCGACAAGGTCAAGCCGGCTCCATTATGGGAGCAGCGACAACGGCTCGTTCTGACGGCGATAGTGGTCGTTTGGTGGTCTTAGAATCTTGATGTAATTTTTATTATGTTTAAGGTGCTTTGAACTTCCGGTGAACTTTGATAATAGTTCTGGATATTTTCGCAAAAAAGTCATTATCAAGTAATAATAAAGTAAATAAAGTGCGTCTATAGGGTAAAAAAAACAAAGAACCGTTCTGGCTTATCTCCTGCAGGAACCAAGCTGCTGCGGCTAATTAGTCCCACACGGCTAGCTGGCCAACAAATACACCGGCTTAAATACTCATCCCGGCGCTGTGCCATCAGCCGGGCCTGGTTGTGCGCGCTTGTAACTCCAGCTACGGAGGGCTAAAGAGTCGGCAGGGTGGGCCGTGGGCTTGCAGCGCGTGTCAAAGCCCAGAGCGCGTTCCGAGTCGTGGACGACGCTCGTAGGTTCAGCCCGTTCTCGCAGGCCGGGGAACGTGGCGCTCTCGGCGCCGTTGGTCCGTCGGGATCGGGATGCATCCCCCGACGTACCAACGGGGTAAAATGCATCCTCACCTCCCCAAGGGAAGGAAAAAGATTAAAGGAAAGTGGCAGAGCGAACCGGGCTTCGGCCTCCGGGGCTGCCTGGGCCTGACGAAGGTTGGCCGGCTTTCACTCACGCCAACAGCGAGCCGCTGCGAACCGCGACGGCGGGTCGCGATAATGCCTCGAGGTTTCCACGGAGTGAGACGTTGCCTTGGCAGGTGACGACCTGCAAAAGAAACGAGTACCGCTACCGTGGTGCATGCGTTCGCTCATGCACCCATCCTACCAACTCTTTTTTTTTGTTGCGTCATATTCCTATCACTAGTAGAAAACCGACCTTTCGTCCGCCCCTTTAGTCCCGGTTTGATTACGGCCCGGGACTAATGTGACCATTAGTCCCGGTTCCAATGGCTAGGAGCGGACGAGGCCACGGGCATCATTAATCCCTGTTCGTTTTCTACCTATAGTCTGGCAGGCTTTTGTCAGGTCGGGGGTCCCCACGAACCCCTCTAGTCCCGGTTTGTATAACCAACCGAGACTAAAGATAAACCCTTCGTCCAGCCCGAGCCCATTGTCTCCATTTTCCCCTTTCCCATCTCTGTTCTACCCCTTAGCTCAAGCTCATCCTCCATTTTTTGCCAAGATTTGTCAAGACTTGAGGCACCCCGTCTCTTCAAGTGTTCACAAAGATTAGCAACTTTGTCCTTTCATCTCTCGTTGCAATATTAGCTCGTGCAATGCTCTATAAGTATAGTGATTTACGGGTTTTAGCTTGGCAGTAATTTTGTGGGAGTTTATTTGATTTATATCCAATTTGAGCTCAAATTAAATTCTTAGTTTGCATATGTGTAGATGTGGTTTACTTAGGGCCTTCCCGTCCCCATCCTAACCACCGTCGATCGCCCGCACCGTCCCGTCGCCGGCACCACCTTGGCGAGCCTCTTGTTCTTATCCTTTTTATTTGTATGATTTAGGTAGTTTTCTTACTTGTATGATTGTTTGTTATACATAGTGCCTTGGTCTTGATATCTGTCCCCGTCGGCCCTCGTCCGGCTTACGATATGGATGTGATATATATATTCTGTGTTATAACTATCTGTTGCATTTCGCGTTTATGAAAATTATGCCCATCAAGCTGACATAGTTATTTCACGTTTATGACAAATATGCCCTCTCATTTTCCATTCCTCCCGCCAAACTCCGGCTCCTCTCTTCCACGCCAACCGCCATGCCGCTGAAGAAGTACGTGTTCCCCCGCGCCGCGATGGATACCACAGCCGCCGTCACCGCCCAGCCGAAGCAGACGAAGGATAGGGCGCCGCCGTCCAAGCCCCCGGGCATGACCAACGCCGACTGGAAGGCGGAAGTGCAGCACCGGGAGGCCGTCACCGCCGATAGGCGCAACAGGGCCAAGAAGGTCAGGGAGAAGGCGGCGCTAACGGCCGTGGCAGCGGCGGAGCAGGCGGAGCGCTCGGCCGAACAAGCCGAGGCGGCTCGCGAGGGGATGATGAATCCACCCGGCGGCCACGGCCCGCACGCGGCCTGGAGCCAGCAAAGCATCGGATCTCCGACCGGCTTCTCGTTGTCACACAACCATGGAGCACGCCGTCGCCAGGCTATGCGTTCGCTCATGCACCCATCCTACCAACTCTTTTTTTGTCTCTAAATAAAACACAGTAACTACTCTTTCATCTGAAAAGTTACAGTCTCTATTTGGGCATGGATAGATAATTCTTTGGGCGATGCTGGTGTCGACTCTTTTGCGTGAGGATCTTCATGGAGGCTGTTGAGTTATGGTGGTGTCTGTTAGCTAGCACCGCTCATGATGATAATTGCATGTTCTTGTTTGAAGCTCGACATTGTTTAAGTTCTTGTAGGATAGTTTTGTTGTGCTACGAGGGTTTGGTCCCATGATGTGTGTGTTGATTGGGAGCACACAAAGTGGGTTTCCTGGTAGTGCTTTCAACTCTCTTCTCCCCTTTTCGGTCCCTTGTTCTCTCTCATGCTGGACAAACTTTGTGTTTCTGGTATGTTTATAATGGTATGGGCTTTATGCCCGGTTAAAAAAGGTACTGATATTAAATTAAATCAACTAAAAGGTGGGCTATGTTAGTGAATGACTAGAAATTGAGGAAGGGTGGGGAGATGATGCGCTGTTAAGCTTTAAGTGAGAAAATAGGAGCTCCTCGAGTTAGAGAGGTTTCTAGGCCATACAGAGGTCTTATCCCCACAGGCCACCACCTTCCTCCTTCTACATGCATCGCACACACTCTTACCTTTGTTGTTCTCGAGAAGTTTCTCCTCAACCATACCCATTGATTGCTTGTATCTGCGTTGGTATTTTCCCGAAGAGAAGATGATGATGCATCACAGCAACGGTAAGAATTTCTCTCAGTTATGAAACCAAGGTTATCAATTTAGTAGGAGAACCAAGCAACACTATGTAAACAACACCTGCACCCAAATAACAAATACTTGCACCTAACATGTAAGGAGGGTTGTCAATCCCTCCTTGGTATTGAGATAGTTAAATTGTATGAGATTTGATAAATAGATCTGACAGAAACACAAAAATGGGCCAACTCTCGTGCACCACGTGCCTCCGACCCTTCCTCTTGGCCGACTCTCGTGCCCGCTGTTCAGGCGTCAGCGTCTTCTCCGGCTTCGGCGCGGCGGCGGTCTTGCGGGGGGGCGCGAGGTTTGCCTTTGCCTGAGGGGCGGTCGTCATGCCGGACGAGGCGAGAGAGGCGAGGTCGGCAGCGGCGTCGAGGTCGTCGTCCATGGCGGGGGAGCGGAAGCGCGTCCGGGTGGGAGGGTTCTTGGGGGGGAATGGAGGGAAATGGTGGAGGCTGCCACCGACCAGCGGGCCCGCGGAAGAAGAAGGCGCGCGCACGTCCGTCTCATGTGCGCTCCAACGCAAATCCAGCTCAAAAATGAGCCTGGAATGGGTCGGCAGGCGGACGAAAAGCGGACGTGCGTCCGTTTGAGTCGGCGCGTTGGGTCGACTTTTGTGTCCACGCCGACCCAAACGAACGAAATGGGTCGCCCTGTTGGAGTAGCTCTAATAGTATGGATTTGAGGTATCCGGTTATAGAATGGATTATTTGAGACGTGACCGGATTACTGTCCGCGGAAGCGCAGGGCGAGTCCGCATGTGTTTGAGGAGTCGGATTTGTCAAGTCTCCCTGTGCTATGAAAGCGGGACCCACATGTACGGCACGTGACACGTCAGCATACCACGCCGACCAGGAGCCACTCCACCATGTGGCCACGCGTCACGACCAGAAACTCACTCACCAAGACCACCACCCCCGTCCCACATCGATCGGCATCGTCGCCTCCGCCACCTTCTCCCTCCCTCCCCCAAGAACCACCCCCGCGACCGGCGATCACCTGCCATGGGGCGTCACCGTTACAGGCGGCGCCCTCCGACCCCATCGGACTCCTCCTCCTCGTCGACGTCGGAGCTCGACGACATGCTGCCGGTGGGCGCGGAGGTGGAGGTGCGCAGTGAGGACCCGGGCTTCGCCGGCTCCTTCTACGAGGCCACCGTCGCGGGCCACCTCCCCTCCTCCTCCTCCTCCTCCGACGGCGGCAGCCGCAAATGCTACGCGGTCGTCTACTCCACGCTGGAGGGCGACGACGGGCGGCCGCTCGAGGAGGCCGCGGCGGCCGCCTGCGTGCGCCCGCGCCCCCCGCGCGCGGCGCCGAGGCGGTTCGCGGTGCACGATATGGTGGAGGCGCTGCACAGCGAGGGGTGGTGGGCCGGCGTCGTCTCCGCCGTCGCCCCGGCGCCCGCGGTGGCCGGAGGGGATCTGCGGCGCCGGCTGAGGCGGGTGTACCAGGTCGCCTTCCCCACCTCGCGGGAGACGCTCGAGTTCCAGGAGGCGGACCTCCGGCCGCACCGCGAGTTCATCGCCGGCCGCTGGGTCCCCGCTGCCAAGGCGGTGAGTCCGGCTCCTCTTCGTCTTAATTAACCTTCATCCAGATGAAATCGCCACCACCTGCTCGGCAGAATGCCTTACCCTGTTGAGCCCTTCGCCGTGCGCAGCCTGCTCGATGGAATGCCAAATCTATTTATTTCTCTGATGGTGATTAAGAAGTACTCCCTCCGTTCTAAATTACTTGTCTTGGATTTGTCTAGATACAGATGTATCTAGACTTATTCGTATCTAGACAAATCTAAGACAAGTAATTCAGAACGGAGGGAGTAACAGGTTGCTCACTCCTGTTGTGCGCAGGACAATGCATCTCATCATTTCAGCGAGGGAGACCAGGTTGAAGTGAGTCAGTCTGGAACGAACTTCGGCGAATCCTGGAATCCAGCCGCTGTTCTTAAAGTGATTGGTGCTACAAATTTCTTAGTAAAGTACATGCATAATGGGAAAGACGGGAAATCGGCTACTGAGATTCTGGATTTTCAGTATATTCGGCCAGCACGTGCCATCACCCGTATTGACTCAAAGTACAGATTTTCTCCTTCTTGTCATGTTGAGGTCCTTCATGAAGATAGCTGGTGGCCTGGTGTTATCCTGAATGTCTTAGGCACCAGAACCGACAAGAAGTATGTGGTAATGTTGGATTGTCACAAGACAGATCTGGATGACATCGACCATATGGATATGCTGAGGGTTGAAATTACGCAGCTCAGGCCACTGTGTGACTGGGACGGTGAAAAATGGGTACCCTGCTTGAAGAAGGTACATCTGTATATTCTCTGTTTTGCCTTCTATCATTCTTTTCCACTTACCATATTGATGCATTAAACTTAATTTTAGTGCTTTAGATTTCAAAGAAATTTATCGATATTACCATGCTTTGGCTACTCATTTATTCGGCCCTGTTTTCATCAGGGCCAAAGACCCTTTGTATGTGTTTGTTCTTTAATCCCTTGGGCCTAGTCAACCGCTAGACATGATCCTGTTACGATAGGCATATGTTGTCTGTATATGCGAAGCATCTCATACGACAAGCAGCTGCAAATGATTTAGGAATATGTGGGTTTATTCATAGTTAAATTATTATTCAACGTTACTTCAAACCTGCCTTGAATACCTTTTCTATTTCAGGAATCTGCTAACGGACCTGAATCAACTTCTCCAAAAAGGCCGGCTGCCTTGTATAATGACTCTGATAAAATTAGTGATGAACCTGGTTCTCATCGTGACAAAAAGAAGTTGAAGAATGCAGATGTGGTGCCAGAACAAATTTCTCCTCCATCTGTTGGTAAAGAAAACATTGAAATTACTCGTAAGCAGGGAAATGCAGTATTGGCACCAAGATCTGAGTTGTCACCTCCTTCGCTGCCACCAATGGCATCATTTGGCCGTCTGAGTTCTTCATCTTCACCTGCTACAAGCTGTCATCTTGCACAATCATCTTCTCACATTCAGGCTTCATTGTTTGGAGCGTTTGGACAATCAAGGCCTATTCCACAGGGCCTGCCATTAGGAACGCAATCGCTTATTTGCTCATGTTTTACCGGTATTAAAGGGTCAAAAAAAGTATTAAGCGATCAGGATAAGCAGTCAACTGCTGGAACTGGGACTGTACTGTTCAGACAAATGAAGGTATGTGTTTCTTTCCAAACAGCAGTGCCTGTAGGGGAGAAGCCTGAAACTGTGAGTTGTTACTTTTATCGCATCCCCTTAACAATTTAAACTAGTTGTAAGATAATTAAAAATATCATTTGCTATTACTTTCTTTACATTTGTAACTACTAAATGCAGCCAATGGAAAGGATAGATGCTAAAGCCATTGAAGAAGGCAGCAACGTTGTCTCTGTTTCTGAAGACCGTAAGTTTTCGACTTCTATTGTACATTTGTACAGTCATCTATGTGTACTGATTACAGAAAAGTCAGTAATACTTTCACTATGTTACTAGCACTTTTATCATGATACCTTCCATTTACAGGTTCACAATCACACCAAGGTAATGGAACACATGATTCTTGCTGTCCCTTGCCTGCGGAATCTGTGGCTGTGCATGAGAGTATCATGCACACGAGTGGCCAGCTTTCAGAATCCTCAGCAATCCAGCAGCTTCCAATTGTGAAGACCTCCCCATTGTGGGCACAGCTTGAGGCACTGGAAATATTCAGGACAATGCCACAGCGGCCAAATCTCCATCAGTTTCAGCAGCACGTTCCGGAGCTCCATGAAGGACTGGCACTAGGTCTGATGATCTCTTTTGCTAGTCTGGCAGAAAGCATAAACAGGCTGGGTGTTGAGGACGACAACGAGCTGCTCGAGCGGAAGATGAATTGCCTGGCTTATCTCGAGGCAAGTGGTTTCGACGTCGGGGACCTGAGATCGCGCGTGGAAGCTTTACTTCACATGAAGAATAGCCGTGCCGAAGTACCGGACGCTTTGAAAAAGCTGGAGGAGGAGATTGCTCGCGAAGAAGCCGACGACCAAGAACTGGGCACGCAACTTCGCGCCCTGGCTATGGCTGTCCGTCACCTTGAACTAGATGCCTATCTTGTGCGCAACGTAATAAGGTCTACCGTCGCACGGAGGATGAACAATGCCATGGAGATCTCGAGGCTCAAGGCGGAAGCGAACAATCTGTCCTCCGCCGTGCCGCGGTGAGTTTGGTGGGTGGGAGCACGTCGTCATTACGCCTGTGAATAAGTAGTTAGTAGTTACCAATAGTGAGTGATGGAGAACGCCCAGCTAGATGCAGTGTAGATAGCGAGTATTTTGTGTCGTGGAGTTGGCCGTAGTACTGGTGAGCCTTTTGCGTGTGTTGAGAGATCATGTTGCCGCGCCGCGGTGACTTTGATTGGAGAATGTCAGCACACCTGTGAATAGTTAGCTGCCAATGGTAAGTGGCGGGGAACCCCCAGCTAGATTGATGTCGTGTAGATAGTTCGTAGCGCTGTCCTGGAGTTGGCCGTACCACTGGTGGGTCTTTTGTGTGTGGGCTGTGTATGTTGCTACCCTGGTATGTTGTTACTTTTGGGCTCTTAGCTAAGTGATAAATGCCAGCAAGCTAATAGTTCCTTCCAAATCATGCCTGATGTTACCATACATTCGGTAATTGTCTTGTTCTTGTCCTCGGAGGATGCATGCTACTGAATTATGTTATACAATGTGAGAAATTAGGCTCACTGTCAAAATGCTAGTCCCTGTCGGTATTCTGCATTGCCATATGCCTACCCAAACTGGAGGGAGAGAAATATGGATTCACTGGTTTGTTGTGGTTCTTACTGTGGATGAGTGGATCCTGATGTTGGCTAAATTATTCAGGCAGCTGATGTCTGTCACACAGCAATGGCTGTTACGATTCAGTTAAAACAACATGGAAGAAATCCATTTTTTCACCAGAACAGAAAAGAACTTGGTACACCCATCTCTTGGCACCATAGGGGTTGATATATTCCTTGTCAGGATCTGGTGTCTATAATCTATGGCTTGTAGACTTTGATATTTTGCATTGCCATGTACCTACCCAAACTGGATGTACCGGGTGCTTACCATTTTTTTTCTTTTTTCTACATCGGGCTTTTAGTTTCATGTAAAAATCTTTTTGAGGACGAGTGGCAGGTGCTCTGCCTTTGCATTATACATAAAGAATGTACAAGAGGGTTGCCATAGGCAGAGTATAAGTTACAAAAGGGAGACTGTTTTGCATTAAGTACTAATTATATATCACTGTCAAAACAAACATATTAATTATATCATGTGTTTTGAACCACCATGGAGCCTGTTATGACCGTCATATTAGGGGCTTAGCCCAGTGGGTTGTGGCCCAAGTTATCTTATCGTTATTAGGGGCTTAGCCCAATTATCTTATCGTTTACTTAGGAGTCAAGTAAACCTCTCTATATAAGGAGAGGAAATGTATCGATCTAATCAAGCAAGAAGCAATCAATATTTGCTCGGCTTCCCTTAGGGAGCCGGGAGACCTAACCCTAGCCACCTCTTGCGTCCGCCGCTGTCGCACCAGCCGCCGGCCGCCGCACAATCTCCTTCCTTGTGATGCCAAAGGAAATAGATCATATTTCAGGAAGTAGTAGTGAATGTTTTTAGGGCAGATATAACCATCACTCACTCATGACTAAAAGCACACAAAACCACCACATTTAGGGCAGGCATGTAACCACCACTCTCTTAGAGTTGGGCATAGGGCTCTGGATTTCTCTGGCTTGGCGAGGGAAACACCGATCATGGCGTGCTTCAAAGTACATGAACCTTGCGGTGGCATTTTCCGAAGAACAATTTTGGTAGTGGCATTCTTCTAATGCCACAAAGTTTCAGTATCATATATCTATACCTAAACGTAAAGTGTCGAACCACATTCAGATGATTGATTAAATTATATAGAAATTCCACTTAGTCTGGATATATAATTGTTATATATACCCAAGCATCACACGTTCCCAACAGAAAATGTAGTAGCACATCTTCTCCAACTTGATGAAGTGCAAATAATGCAAGACACTGCACAAAATCAACCCTAGCTTTAGCTTTGCAAAGTAGCCCATTAATCATTTGTTAGGTTTAAGTGGTCATGCGTGCCAATGTTATATCCCTCCTAATCATTAGAAACCAACAATGGAGCTCCTTCTGCTCCTGGCACTTGTTGTCTTGGGTCTATCGGTACTGATCCTGTCGGTGTAGCTACATTAGCACTAGGCGTGTCGTTGCCCTTGCTCCAGCTGCGGGGTTGATCTAGAAGATTGTCGACCCTGCCGAATGCCAATAACTTCTTGAAACGCCCGGTCGGGCCGTTCTTGGTGGCCTTGGAGAATAGTTGCGACGGCAAATGGAGCTAGAGAGCATACTCTCGGTGCCCCATGGCCCGCGTGCTCCCCGGTGCAACATCACTGCCGAGACCCTCCACCCGCCATGCCTCGGGCACATCGTGCCGCTTCAGCGGGATGCCATCCAGGACCTCATCGCTGCACTCGGGAAGGAACTACAAGTGGTGGCCGTTCGTGAGCACCTCTCTGCCGCCATGTTCTTGGTCTGTCGCGTGTCTGTGCTTTGCTGGCAGAGTCTACAAGGGAGTCTCGATGCCGTTGTGATGGTCGCCGTCTGTACGCCGACCCGCTCGTCGACCTATTTAGCATCCCCGATGATGACGGTGGTTCGAGTCCTGAAAACAACCTCTTGCAGAAATGTAGGGAAATGTTGGGTACTATAGGCCCAAAATGGCCGGACCTTTCCCAGAACCTCTGCAAGCGGAAGGTACGTGCACCGAGCTGTCTTTTTTTCTTTAAGTTAAAGGTTGTGTACTAACCGGTTTTGGAGTTGGAGGTTGTAATTAAAGTAGGCCAAGAATTCAGTCATCATCGAATCAACTATTATTGTTTGAAAAGACCATTATCCAGAAGTCAAGAGTATTCATATCTATTATAAAGTTATCTTCTATATTATCTATTCTCTGCGTAATTAGACAACAAAGAATGATGATCTTCTCTACTACTTAAAGGGGGATATGCGGTCGTTGTTGTCGTCGTCCTGATGGTTCGACCCCCTCCACATGTACGGTCCCTCCACCCCGCGTGACTCACCCTACCTCTGATACACACGAATTTAAAAAGAATTACTACTATGTTCCATGCCCCCATCTCCCGCAACCCCTTCCTCCCTATCACATCTCTCTCCCTCAAAAATTCGCCGCCGCGGATCCTCCACCATCTCGCCATAGAAGAAAAGCTCAGATAAGGAGAGATATGAATACATGTTTTATTCTTTGAGTCGAGATATGAGTACATGTGATAACATGAATGTAGAGCAAATGCATTTTCAAGTGGCATGGGGCGGGGCGGAGACGAGGGCAGGAGAAATGAGCTTGCATGAAACAAGGCACTTGTCATTCGTGGCATCCTTCTCCTTTGCGCAACGCTTGAAGCAGTCCATGTCTTGGTCGATGGCCTTCTTGTTGGCCGGGGTGGCCATGATGTAGCCGAACCTGGCGGCCGTGTAGGGGCAGTCGATGTAGCAGCGGTTGGAGCAAGCAGGATCCTTGCATGCCATGTCGCAGTCCACGGCGCAATGGGAGGAGAATGCATAGACCGTCTTGTTGCCGGGGCAGCCGCCATGCTTGTCGACGGACCCGTTCAGGGCGTCCTGCCCCCCGGACGTGGGCTGGGTGTTGGACTCGCGCTTCTTTTGGCCGACCGTGGCGAGCTCGGCAAACAAGCGCTCGATGAAGGCCACGCTGTTGGGCTCGGTGCCGCAGGCCTTCTCGACCATGGTGGCGCACGCCGCGTCCTTCTTCTCGTCTTTGCCGCAGAGCTTGGAGTACTCGCTGAGGCAAGCGGCCTTCGCCTCCCCCCTGGCCACCGGCATGGATGATGGGGTCACCACCACCACTATGGTGAGGGCGACGACGAGCAGCTGCCCGGCAACGCTAGCCTCACGCTTGGCGGCCATCTTGTTGTCAATTTCTCTTTGTGAGTTGTGACAGACGACCAATGCTTGTGTTGATCGAGATATATGCCAGCGTTGCATTATGTTTATATTTAGGCGAAGCCGATGGCCAATGGTCGGGTGCTATGATTGTGAGGCCATGATCTATTAGAGCTCCATATATGCCAAATTTGTTGCATGCATTTCTATAAGACCGGCCAAAACGACAACGCACGCACGACGATGTAATTTTAGTACTAGCACATACTAGTAAATTGCACATGATTTGCACGCCGCCTATCATTATAGAGACATATGCCTAAATAGATAATAGCCCGCATGTTGCTGCGTGAATTTTTGAAGGATTTAAAACATACATGAGTAGATCCATCCCAACAATAAGTATTTTCAAGTGTAACAGATATTATCATGTATTTTTTTCAAATAATATAATCATGGCTATTGCTGAGGGGCGCGAATTTTATGATGGAGATGAAAACACTATCAATTCAGCATGTACAATATGATTTCTCATATGGATTTGCATGAATTGTAGGTTTGCACCGATCATTAAGGTAAACTGTGCCAAAAAAAAAACTAACACATCACTGTACATGAACTTTCATATTCTTTAGGGATGGTAAAAAAAATAGCACTCTTTGGAGCATTACATAACCTGACTAAAAAGAGAGTGAACACACTCTGCAAATTGTTAAACACAGGTAGAAAAACGTGTGTTAAAATCTGAAAGGAAGCGAAGTTTCTACTTGCTTAGTTGCATGGTTAAAAAACACTATAAATAATATATCTTGCAAGTGGACTATAATTAATTAATTTGGGGCATTCAAAGCCATATTGAACAAATGGATAGATTGTCTGTTACAACATACAAAAAGCAATGGTTGCCAATTCAAGAACTAATCAGTTGAACTTTTCTTCTGTGTTAGATACCCCCAAATTTCTGCAATAGAAAACGAAGAAAATGAGCCCCTGATATATTACAGGGTCTTGATTTATGAAAGAGATAGATAGAAGGTCAGCCCAATAATAAAGCAAATGAATGCATGGCCAGGACCATGATGAAAAGCTAAGCACGCATGTCATCTATAGATGGAGAAACGGAGAAAAACAATTTGCATGTCATCTTCAGGATAGAATTTACTTCCATGCAAGCACGTAGATCCAAAGGCTTGAAATAAATGGTATGCAAATGCTACCGTCAAAGGACA